AAACATCTAGGAAGACATCTCTGTTTAAAACATGCATTGCTTCTGCAGAACACTACCCTGCAACATCCAGTTTTACTAAAACTCAAAGCCTTCCAAGAAATACAAGCCTGGCTGTATTACCCTTCACAGGCTTTAGCATTCAGGTCTTGTTTTTTAAGAACTGAACTAATGTATATTTATAATATTTTGTTACTCTTATCTCCATTTGCTAGTAAGAGTCAAAATGCTCTGTTCTTGTGAAACCTCATTACGACTCCTTTTCCTTTATCTGTGAGTCTCAAATTAACTTGACATAGATGTTTTTCATATATCTCAGGCTAAATGTGAAGTATTCCCTTATGCCCATGAGGAACTCAGAAAGTTAGTAAGTTCTGCTTTCAAGGGCACTCTAAATGAGGTTATTAAAATGCAACACTTTGCATATTCTGATGGGGAAAAACACTTGCCCCTGACAACAAAGGAGATATGACAACTCAAGAAAGCTTCTCAATCTCCATATTGATGGCCACTGGATTCCTCATGCCAGTATTTGTAAAACCGAAATTAGAAGATGTTATCAGGGAGAAAGAAAATTGTAGGAACCCAGGTTCTGCCCAAAAGTAAAAATCCATAACCATCTGTTGTTTGTGTTACATGGATTTCACAACTGTCATCTCCACTGTGCCTGCCATTACATCTTCACAGCAATATCACCAAAACACCCACTGAGATAAAATCACAAATATTTTGAACATACCATATGATACGTTATTTTCCAGATTAATATTAGACAAAGTCAAAATGAGGATTTGTCTATACATTACTTTTGTGCTGTCACATGAAAAATCCTTCAAGTGTTTGCTACTGTTTGGAAACACTTCAGACTTGAATAACTTACGTAATATTGAAGAGAAAGGAAGATATTAACTGCTACATTTTTTATGAATAAGCGTGTTTTGAAAAATTATAATGGCCACACCATACACTTATATAGCATCTTTCTTCCAAAGCAGTCTAAAGATGCATTTTTAACTATTTACTCAGAAACATTATCCAGAATTTATATGAAACTTTCATGTTTTTGGAACTTCAGACCAGTAAGACTGTCCCACATTTCACAGCTGGGGTGGTCTGAAGGATTTATCAGCTCTCAAGCTAATCTTCATAACTCAATGCTACACCCAAAAAGTTCTTTTTGAGAAAAAAAACACACAAACAAATGAAACAAAAACCGCAAACTGAAATCGTCCTTGGAAAATGACAGAAAATGAGTTAAGGACCAGTGAGTGAACAAACTGCTTTTTCCCTGAGGAAATCTAAAGCTCAAGGTCAGCTATGTCTGAAATCACCAGACCTGTCACATGGCTTTCATAGCTGCCACTGTGGCTCCTATCAAACCCACACTGAAAGCAATGAAAACATTTTTACTGGAAACAGATCAAACTCTGATAAGAAGCTCCTTAATCACCTTTGGCTGATAACACTGCACAAAGTGAGAGGTAAAGTTTTGAAAAAGAGAAGAATGAACTAAGAGAACTTGAGGTCAAATGTATTTGACCTTTTTCTTCAATTCCTTAATTTCTCTGTGTGTTGGAGCAGAAATATGACTCTGTAAGTATATGGATACATATATCTTTTATATACATAAGAATACATACATGCACATGCATTTTATACACATATCTGTTCATACACATACAGGAACGCAGATTGTGCTGCCAGGATAGCTCAACTAATTCCATTTTATTCCAGCTTCTGTCCTCCAGTGACAAAAGTCTGGTGGTCCCAATCTCAGTCCCTTGGGTGTAGGAATCCATCACAAACCCATCACCCTTAATTTAATGCAATTGACAGTTTCTGCTCAAGAGAGGCAGAAAAAGTAGTTACCATGGAGACTGAACTACTGCTCTTCTCCAGAGGATGCTTTTATCAAGCATGGCCTGAACAGTAGAGGCTGTGCAATACTAGTAACCTTAATCACATCACTGGATCTTGCTTTTTGGGATGCCTTTTTAGTAAACTCTAACAAACATCAAAAAGTTGGGGGGGTGGGGAAGAAGGAAGAGAGAGCTTAAGAAAACAAACAAACCAACCCCCTAAAACACAGCAGAAAACAGTATGAAACTGCATATTGTGCCAGATTGAGAGAGAAAATTAGTTTCATATTGATTTGATTTATCAGATTTGTCACCTCTGCCTGGTGCTTTCCTAAGAGGGTGAATGCTGTGCTTGACCTATTTGCTGGAATTAACCAGGACCGCAGGAGACCATACGGATTGCCAGATGGTCTGCTATAATTTAATGCCATTTATTCTAAGTATGAAGTAAGTGATAAATATAATTAACATTCTTTTAGCTCCTTACTGGAGCTTTTTTCTGAGACATTGAAAGGTAAGTTAATACCTTGTTGCAGAAACACAGATGCCAGCTAATTACTGCAAGAGGCTGCAGCCTCCAAAGCAAAAAGTGTCTGCACAGAGTCCAACTTATTCACTGACCCCACTGTGATGATTAATAGGTTGAATGCTAAGCTGTAATGAAGATGACAGGTCTTAGATGTTTTCAGGTTACCTTCATTAGTAGCATGATGAGCAGTGTTCATCACAGGTGCACGTATCACACTCCACAGTAAACAATGCACCTTGTACTTGTGGCCTGAACGTGTATTTCACATTACAGCACATCAAATGTGAAGAATCAAACCACCTTCAGACAGTAAAAACAATGAAGTGATTTCCTTCAGAAATGTTTTTCCGGATTGCTATTTCATATTCTGCCAGTGATTGTCTAAATGGCCTAGTTTTTAGGAAGTGGTCCTAGAGAAGCTTTGGCTTCAAAGAGTGTTTATATCAGGCAGGATCGTCATTCTCAGCATTTTAAAACCAAGAGTCTGTAACAAGATATCCAAACAATTCTGCTTACTGTTCCTGTGCTGATAATCTTTGTAGTAAATGGGGTAGGTGTTAGCAGAATGAATAGCAAACAATTTTGTAGTTTTTAATGTCGAAATACAAGTGGAGTTAGTAACTGGAAATCAGAACAGTCAAAGAAGTACTAGAGAAAAGGCAGAAATACTGAATCTTTTGTATTTAATAGGCAAAGCTGTGCACATTGAACCTCACAGATAAAAATGACCACAGGGAAATGTCCTGAGATTTGCAGGTGCACTGTCAATGAAACACGAGTGAACTTTGACCTGACAGAAATGACATAAATGAAATGTTATGCAGAGAACACAACACAGCAGCACCTGCACTGTAGAGCAAGCCTAATTTACATTGTTAAAGGAGCTCAGGGTGAGCAAGTCACAGCATACAGAAAGCAGAAAAAATATCCATCTTTTCAACACCTGTGTTCTTCTCATGCAGATGGGAAGATGGGTTCAGAACTTGTTCAGAGGCTTCCACAGTTACTCAGGTACACTCCACAGTGCACGTGCTGATGCACCCTTAAGAAAGTGCTGCATTAGGGGGGACTTGAATATGACGAGATATACCCTCTTTCACTCCACTCTTGATTGCTTCAAGTTATTTCTTCATCTGGTGAATTTTGATGAATTCACTTGTCTATTGTCACTGGTCCTATAAAATCCTTTATATCAGTAACTTACAATTTTCTATTAGTATATGAATAAAAATAGTATAAAAATATCTGAATAGAAATTAAATAGATATAGATAGATATCTCTTTTTGATATTGATATGACTTGTTAAGATATCTTCATAAGGTCTCTGTGATTGACAGAATTTGAAAAAAGATCAATTTTTCCATCCCATCAACTGAGGTGCAAAAGCTAATGCTATGATGGCTCCAGCTTAATTATTGTAGTCAGACAGGGAAGAAGAGTTGGTTGGAGAGAGCAATCCAGATAGCCTGATCCTCTTTGTAGGCACGCTCCTTACTTCCCTGACTGCTAAGTCAGGTAGGGCTATTCATGTGTCAGAGCTTAGGGAGAATGAAATAGGAGATTAAAAAACTACCATGCTGGAAATGACACTTCACTCACCCTTCAACAGATCATTTGCTGGACCTGACAACACTTTACTTGACTGTTACACAGATACCACTTCTGAAAAATACTGGAGGGACACTCCTCGGTGATTAAAGAGTTTCAGTATCAGTATGCTATCAGCACAGTGTTTTCAGGCTCTATGTCTATACATTCACACATATACATATACATAAACGCAGGTTTGTAAATGTATGCATTTAATTGCTCCATCAGTGCAAATGGTCAGATGCTCCAGGTGGTTATCTCTTAACATTAAAAGAAAGAGAAATGCTAGATCTGTTGCCTGAATTGACATAATTCACACCTTTGAACTAAGTGTTTTGTCTAAGCAGCAGCTAGCTCTCACCAATACTTAAAGGAGAAAAAAATTCTGATAAAATGAAGAAACCATGCAGAATTTAACAAGTTAGTCTTTGGGGTTGATAGACACAAAGCCTGTCAAAGCAGATTTGACACTTAGTTATTAAACATAGCTTTATGCTTTAAAATCCTTTAACATCTGTCTTGTTCTTTACTTGCCTGCTTACAAGAAAAAAGGTATCAGAGAATTTATGTTCACTGTTCAGTCCCAAGAATAAGATTGTCTGCATCTTAGCTGTCATACAGAGGGCATGTTTGAAGTATCACTCTTAGGACAAATAAGGATCAGATGTAAACCCCCTGTCTACAGAGGAATACCTGTGTCTCATGAATGAACCCTCATTGCTGTAATAATTTTCGTAATTAAGCTTCATCATTGGATGTACTGAGAAATCTCACCAAGACAGTGGAAATTGACCAAATTTACCCCTACTAGACCCAGAAGAAATTATTTGAGCATTGATTTGCTGCCAAATTATACTCTTGAAAATTGTGAATTTAGGGAAAGATTGCAAAATCTTTTTTTATCCAAATTACCTAAATCTTAGGTACAGGAACAAAGAAAAGGCCCAAAGGGGAAGCAATGCTTTAAGACCATATGAAAAAACCAACCAAGCAAAGTAATTTACTAATTTCCTGAATGTCTTACCTCCTGCATACATGACAGCCAACATTATCGATGATATCCAAGCTATCTCACTATATGATGTGTGGAAGATCTCTTGTATTTCTTTGAAGAACACTGTGATAGCTTTGGGGAAGGCGTAAGAAAATCCAATGGAGATAAAAGCCCCGAAGACCACAACCCATCCCCAGCCTCCATCAGGAGGTGGGTAATCTGGTGCTCCTGTTGCAGGTGGCATTTTTGGTCTCTGACTCTTCTCCAACTAGACTGAAAAACAAGGAAAGAAACAGATTGTCAATTTTTTTCCCTTTTTTCCATATCAAACAACATTATTTAATAGTCATCTATCATCTAGTCATCAGGGAACATAAAAAACCCTTGGAGGAAAGATCAATTTCCAGCTTTCATGGAAGCACAGAACAAGAACACCTGATTTTAGAAGCAAAAGCTGTTCTGCAAAAAAACTTGTGGCAACAATGTTTCCAATAGCCCAGTCAATATGTGGCAACTGTTAAAAATTACTCATCTCAGTCAGCGAAGTTGTATTTGCAATTGGTCACTTATTGCAAAGTGACTAGTTTGTGTGGGTTAATTTATATAGCTCTACAATCTACCATGTGGAGAAGAAACAATGGAAAGAAGTAACACCTAAATTATAACTAAGTGCTATAAATAAGTGTTAGTGAGATTTGTTGGTACCACAGCAAAATCATCATCAACAACACAGAGGAACAAATTGCGAACATCTGAAAAGCAGAGATCTAAGGAGAGATTTAAAATTCCCTGTGTATCCATAAAATAAATACATAATATTAAAATTCCATATTTTACTCTTAAGATCTTGATATTTTGATGTTGATATTACTTGCAGGAACAAGTTGGAGCTTGATGGTACCAATTTTGCTGTTTCTACATATTAGAAGACATCAGGAAGCTTTCCACAGCTCTTCTATAATTTCGAATGGATCTTAAGAGCTGCCACCACAATGATACTTTACAGAGGTTCTAAGAGGTGTAGCAAACACATTCAGGCAGCTCAAATCCACACAAAATTTCTAAAGCCTGAAATAAATTTCATATTGCTAATGTCAAAAAACCTTACTTTTTTTACATTCTGCATTAACTTTTTTAGAAAATATGTAGTGGTGAAAATCCATTTTTTATTTCTGAGGTGTTTTCCACTAACAAATCCCATTATTATTAAACACTGAACTGGAGTCCACTGTGGTTTTTTATGTGTAATCCAGCCTACACATACAGTATGAACTGCAAATTCTTCTTTCCTCCCCATTTATTTCCTGGGCATTTAGGCAACTTATTACTCTTGATTGGTCTCCTGCCATACTAGTATTCAAAACTGCGGATGATAACAGTGAGTAGGTTGCTGTTATGCTGATGATTACCAGCAAGCCTCTACATGATTTCTTCTGTGCCACTTACAGCATATTCCAATTTCTCACAGTAAACTGCATTAGCAGTGGGAGTGAGATGATTACCTTAACAAAAACGAAAAAAACCCAACTGTGTTAGCTTATACTTATCTCTTGGGACAGTGCCTGGCATACTTTTAGAGTAAATGCCATGTAGCACTGCATGCAATATATGCCACAAAACAAGCAAAATATTGTTTTTAAGATTACCTATTAGTAGGCTAGCCCTGTGATAGAAACCCAGTGTACTTTTGATTCTCCAGTTCACTGAAGCTGACTGTAGACATCAGCTACAATCTCATGTAGCTGGCACACCTCTGGGGAAAGCTGAATCAGTGACTAAAACATCAGGCTTTTAAGCAAAATTTTAAAAGCCCAGGTAGTTTGGCTTCTGCACCATATAACTGAGATTTCCTGCTGGCAGGAGTAGGTATCTATTGCTCAGTACACAGAGCATATAAATATTTTTATATGCATATCCAGAAAGAACCTGTGGTATGTACTTTGTTTCTGCTTATCCCAGTATCAGTTTAATGTTAGTTCACTGAGAAAACACAGAGAGGAAAACCTGGACCTGTCACTAGAACAAGTTGGACAAACAGAAACAATTCTGGCTGCTGAGACTTAAGTTTGTGAACACTGTTAAAGACTGCTTTATTTTTGCTAATAAAGATCCATTAGAAGGAAGAGTATCTCAGAAAGCCCACTGTAACTTAGAGGACAAATAAAAATGATCAACTGCATGTTCAAGAGCACAAAACCTCAAATTTGCCATAAAAAGCAGAATTCTATTTCTGTGAGTTAAGTGGAAGTAAAGAACAAGAGTTTGCCATCTATCCCAGAAAAGCTGTTCTGCTCATCTGAGAAAACTTTTGGGTCTTTTTTTTTCATGAAAAAAAGGTTAACTATTGTTTTCTTACACTTCAAAGGCTTGAGCATATTTGTTTTCATATTTAATATTCACATGACAACACTTCTATCGCTATTATAAATTTTTGTGATGGCAAACAACATCAACACATTGCTCTTCATAAAAATGGAAGGGCTTATCAATTTACTGAGGAAGCACTCCTTTTCCTAAAAATAATACAAAAGCACTTTGAAAAATCACAGCCACCACATTAGTTAAAAGAATGCTGAAGGTTCCTGAATGTCACTAACAGTTTGGAGAGATCCCACTATAGCCACCCCTTTAGGGTAGAAGAACAGGCTCTGACAGTTCAGTGCTTTCCTCCCTTTAAAAGCTTCACAGTAAATTACAGGAGTGTTAAGGAGACAAGCAAAGGGGCATTGGCTGCTCCTGTGCTTTAGCCTAGAGGCAAATTGGTGCAAAGGCCACTGCACCATATAACTGTAGTCCTGTCTGCCAACCTACAGTGGGCATTATGCTGTCACAAAGAAGAACCTGGATCATAGTATCTCACACCTCCTGTTTATTCCACAAAGTAGATCTAAGAATAGCTTCCCTGATATTCTTTTATGACCATCATGGCCAAAATTAGCTCCAGTCAATAAAGATGAAGAGGAAAAAAAAATACATGTTTGTATCAAGGTGAAAATAAATGTTCATTTTCTCACTAACATTAAATCCAACATCTCATACATGTTCAGGACCTAAAGTGGTATTCTCCTGTAAAATCTGCATTTAATGTCCTGCTGCAATCCCTGTAATGGAATCCCTCCTAAAGAAGTCTAATTGATTAATATACCCAGCTCTAACCTACCCCTAACTAGTAATATTTGAGTAATATAGGTAGTATCATGACAACTGCAAAATCCATTAGCAACTAAAAAACCCCAGGATTTTACATTAGTAGACATAAATGTTGATAAAGGAAGAAGCAAAAGATGGAGGAATGAAGCAGTGATAATCAAAATGCCTTTTCAGAAACTCTTATAGGTTATTATGGGCTGAAGAATAAAAAGAAATATGGCAGAAATCATAAAAACAAGCATGTGTGATGACGTTCATGTGAAGAACACAGGACCAGACCAAAATAAGAAAAAAAGAAACAGCACTTGAGCAAACAAAGATCACCACCAGTGTTCTTAGTCAGTCATATGAATACTGTCATGTGCTTAAAGCTAGCAAGGGAGCATTGCTCGTACCTATGCCTTTATAGGCAAGCAGTGGGCGAGGAACACTGCCTGCCCCTCCCAGGGAAGCAGCAGAGGAATAGCGACTGGAGTGGGTCCTGAGTGAAGCCATCAATCTCACTTCTCGCTGTCAAATACACAGAGATTCCTCAGCCTTTACATACACTGAGTCAGATGTGCACAAGGATTTTCTCCTAAGCTCTTTCTAGTTCGCCTGTATAAATCCAATTTATGTAAGCAGTGAACAAGAATGCAGTTTACTGTGATAGGAGCTGCATGCATCTGCTAACAAATAACAGGAGAGAAACAAGAGGACACTTTTATAACACCTGATAAGCAACATTTTTATTGCATTTTCATCACATTTGAACTTAATTAAGCATATGAGAACTAGAGAGAGAAAAAAATGGGAGGAGGAAGGGGAAAAGGATAGATGTGAGAGGAAGGAAAAAAGGGAGAAAGAAAAAAGGAAAAAGGTAGCAAGCAAGCAAGAAGGTCAAACTAAGAGCAAATGCTACAAACAAATAATGTATCTTGATACACCATGCATTGTAGACTTCAGTCAGTTATAATCAATCTGTTCAAAATGTTCATGCGTCTACCAACGCTTCATCAATATTCTGCAGTTGTCAGCTGCCAGAATCAGCTATCAGTACAACAGCTTGTAAAACTGAGAAGGGCTTATGTTGTTCTCCTGTTTACTAAGACTCTGATTTTACTGGGTGTCTTAGTTTTGGTTTTCTGAAAAGTTAGAGTAACTGTTTGTTTTCCTGCTTGCATTCTGTCTGCCTTGTCCTCAATGTGCCCCATCATCACTTGACTCAGCAGCCACATGTCCCAGAGTATAAGAACTGGCATGTAAAAAATCTGTCCCCAGCTGCTGTTAGGATAGTAGAAATACTTTGCATTTGTGTACTGCCCTCCAGTTCCAGACAGCAAGCCAAGAACTGGAAAAAGCTTTGCAAACTTGAGCAAAATCAGTCTTATAACATCCCTGTGAGGTGACTGAGAAATATAATCCACGTTTAGACATGGGAAACAAATGTGTTAACAGACTGAGTGACCTAAGTATCATGTCCTAAGATCAGTATCAGAGCTGGCATATAGACTAATGTCCAAATAAAACATGAGTTATGACTGAGATTTTTAAATACATGTTTATTTTAGAATTTTAGAATCATTAAGTAGCCAATGCAGATTATTTGTACTGCTTAATACTAGAGCTAGGAGCTCAGGTGGGGTACAGTGTTTGCTTTATAGGTTTGAATAGTTTGCTGCTCCAACTTACACATGTTAATTACACTGCTGTATTTGAAATAAATTACTTTGTAGAAGCATTAGAACATAATGAGTTAAATAAGAATTATACTCTTATCAAAGATCCTTGCTTAAATCCTGTAAGTTTTTCCATTTTCATTAACCTCTCTTTAATGAGTTCTAAGCAGGATGGCAGAATAGTAGGTACCATCTCATCAAATGGTATTGCCTCACCAACTTCTATAAGCTATTGTCATAATCTTAGGAACGATTTTGAGCCTTTGAAGAAAAAAGTACCATGTTAGTTTTGTGAGAAGATGAAGCCCCTACTTGAGATGGGTTTTTGGTGGGTTTTTTTTGTTTGTTTGTTTTTTTTTTTCTTTTGTTGTTGTTGTTCTAGAGAAAGGGAAGATGTGCAAAGACTGTAAGGTAGTAACTGAGTCTGTTCTCCGCTTTTAGTTCTAACTACTCAGCTCTGGAGGC